GAGGGCCTGGGCCAGACTCAGGCTGGGCTGACCCCCGAGCCTGGATGAGCTTCCAGGGTGCCTCAGGTGGGCCAGGAATCGGACCAGGTGCTGAGTTCTGGGGCATTCCTGCGTGCCCCTTGCCCTACGATTTCTATGGAGGCATGGCATACTGTGGACCTCAGGTTGGCTTGGGGCCTCTGTCTCAAGGTGGCCCTGAGACTCCGCGTCCGGAGAGTGAGGGAGGCACTGGAGTGGAGAGCAGCTCCGAGAGGGCCTCCCCGGAGTCCAATGCTGCTCTGCCTTCTGCCAAAGTGGACAAGGAGAAGCCGAATGAGGTCGAAGACAAGGACATCAAAACTCGGCAGAAAGATCTGGAGCAATTTGCTAAACTCCTAAAGCAAAAGAGGATCACCCTGGTATATACTCAAGCTGATGTGGGGCTCACTCTGGGAGTTCTCTTTGGGAAGGTGTTTAGCCAAACCACCATATGTCGCTTCGAGGCTCTGCAGCTTAGTTTCAAGAACATGTGTAAGCTGCAGCCCCTGCTACAGAAGAGGAATGAGGAGGCAGACAACAATGAAAACCTCCAGGAGATACGCAAAACGGAGACCCTTCTGCAGCAGGCCCGAAAGAAAAAGCGAACAAGCATTGAGACCCAAGTGAGAGACCCCATTTTGGTGGTCCAGGCTATGGAGGCCCTCACTTTACTACTCTGTACTCCCGGGTCCCTTTCCCTGAAGAGGAAGCCTTCCCCCCTCACCAGGTCTCTCCTGTGAGCTCTCCCATGCATTCCAACTGAATGAAGTGCCTGTCCTTCCTAGGAATGCGTGGCAGAGGAAAGGAGAAAATTTGGAAATAGCCATGGTATTTCTACTAGGGCTTCTTGGTTTAAGTTCCTCACTCACTAAGGAAGGAAGAAATTGGGGGGAACACCTGAAAGAGGATAGGAAATTTGGGGTAGAGTTCAGTGACGCTGATAATTAATCCTCCTTCATCTAACTAAAAGAATCTTTGCTTTGTTCTTAAATAAAATACTTGGGACTGAGTAAAAAAAAAAAGTCTTTTTTGTTTTCTTTCTTTTTTTCCCCTCAAATGACTGCTTCTTGGTCTATGTACAAGTTCCACAGGAATGTAGTAAATGTTTTAGAATTCCCATTCTTCTTAATGTTATCCATATTTATTATGATCTACATAGCCAATTTCTAGGACTAGCAGACATGGCAATTGAGACTGAGATCTTAGAAATACAGAGAAGAAGGAACAGCTGTAAGCAGAAACTAGTGATTGGAACGTGGAACATGAGAAGCATGAATGTAGGAAAATTAGACATTGTTAAGAAAGAAATGGAACGCATAAATATTGACATACTAGG